TTTTGTTTCACAAGGATAGTTGATAGGTAGTCAAAAATAATTCCTTCTGCATCCGATGGCACTCAGCGTCTAGTTATCCTACTTTGGTGATGCTAAGATTGATCAGTGGATTCAGGTGGTAACAAATTAATCCATCCACTATACAATTCTTTACTATCCTTTTATCTAATGGTTTCATCAAGTGATATTTTCTCCCCTTGGCCAAATAATTCTCCAGGAGTTGCAAAATGATTTTTCTAATTCCATCCTCATTCCACATTTATCAGCTAAAATTCATACAACTGGAGCTATTTAGCGGCTCTAAAATACAATCTAAACAGGCAGATTAAGTTCTCCTTTCAGGTTCAGTAATATATTTTGGATCAGTTTTTTAAAAATAATTGTCTTAACTTTGTGCTGCTATACCAAAATACCATAGACGGTAATTCACAAAGAACAGAATTTTTTTTTTTTTTCTCACAGTTCTGGAGGTTGGGAAGTTCAAGCCATAAAATCCAAGCCAGCAGGTTGTCTGGTGAGGACTGCTCTCCATTTCCAAGGTGATGTCTTGTTGCTACGTCCTCTGGAGGGGAGGACACTGTGTCCTTGCACGGTGGAAAGCAAACAAGCTGAACCCTGCGTGAAACCTGTTTTATAAGGGCTTTGATCCCATTCGCAAGGGGAGGAGCCTTGGTGACCTGATCACCTCTTAAAGGCCCAACCTCCAAACACTGCCACAGTGGCCATTGAGTTTCAGCATCTGCATTTTGGAGGGAACACATTCAAACCAAAGCAGTAGCCCTAAATAACAAAGGCGTTTTCCTACCCTGTAAATGCCAGAGCTGCTATCTGAATAATGCAATTGGTAATTGCGTCACATAGAACCAATAGAGATCAGCAACCTCAGCCTGGCAGGATCTCTGAGATATTTCTTCTCCATGACCTTTTGACTTCAGATCCCAGTTCCCTGACCTTCAGCCTCCCTATGAAATATATCAGTAAGATCTTGGTGCTTATGGGTCTGAGTTAAAGCTGGTGTGCACATTTCCTTCTTTTCTCTGCGTGTTTAAACCCATTTCTTCTTATGCACTTATTCACCATAGAAACACCTAAAACATTTTTTTCCAATCTAGGCCAAGCATTCTGGAACATGTGATTGCTAGCATTATACCTATGAAAGGAAAATTTATAACACCCAAACAAACTGCCTTGTTGAATGATTTCATTATATGCTTTGCTTGTATGTTTTTGTGGAGGTGTTTCTATTTCTGAATCACGGAGTCAGCTCAGACTCCACTGCACCCCCTTGGATCCCCAGATTCTGTTAAATCACCCACATAACCTTTCTTTTACCAAGTCCTTCTTTTCTGTTGATATTGCCACCATCCTACCTCAAGTCTTTTTCCTCTAGGGTCTGTTTTCCAATGTTCTTGGTTTTCTATTCTGATGAAATATCCTCAGCCCGCTTTGGTAGTGCCTCACTGCTGGCAAGGGAAGTCCAGAGTTCTAGCTTTGCGCGTGTGCCTCTGCACAGCCTGGCTTCCAGTGCACCTCCTTTCCCACTCCCCTCCTCTGCTGGCCGGACCAGCATGCTCACTGCCCCTTGGCATTCAGCCTCCCATCCCATCACCAGAGCAAGCATCCATCTCTTCCCTTGTCCCAGGATCCCATCATCATCTCCAGTGGAAACCCGCTGAGACTCTGCCACTCCACTGATCACTGTGGTCCCGGCTGCTCCCAGAGCACACATTGTCTGTGCCCTGGTCAGGTGGCTGTCACACGCCTTTCTGTATCATGATTTCATTTGCTTCACCTGCAAACTACATGCTAACCAAGGGCAGGGACTCACTTTGGACTTCTGCAGATAGCTTACGGGGCCGGACCCGGAATCCAGCATCTCATAGGTGCACCTTCCCCTCACCTTCTCACTCCGACTCCTGCTTTAGTCCTCACAGTCCTTGGACACACCTGATTGCTGCTTCATTTTGGACTGTAATCCTGGTCTTTATTTTTGACAGTCCTATCAAAAAGATGACTGTCTTTTTGTCCTGTCAAGACTACTACCTCCAGGCCCTCTTCTCTCCCCATCCCTGCTCTACACCATAAAGTGGATGGAAGGCCACACCCTTGGAGAATCTCCCAGCAGGAGTGAGCTTGACCAGTTCTCCTTGGAGCTATACTCCAGCAAGAAATCACGAGTTTTATTCTGTATTGCAGCTGGGAGGCCTCCAGAAACAAAACCAGGCCCGCAATCGGCAGCCCCACAGAGCTGTGAGACTGCCCTGTAAATATTTATTTGGAAGTCCCCCATTACAAGCGCTTCCTCATGCTCTCCTTAGTAAGCTCTACTTCATTTTGAAATATCCGAGTGACCGGGGCAGGTACCTGTCATGGCGTAATGACGCACCGCTTTCTCTGCTGTTGTAGAACTGAAATTTTCTTTGCTTCTTCTAACTGACATGACAGACATCCGCTTTGTGGAGTGATTATTAGTGTAAAATCACTTTTTGACCTTTAAATTTAATGATGCCACATTCATAGCAATAATATAACACCCCAAATCCAGGTGTGCTTTTCAAGGAAAGTGACCAGGGCAATTACCCTCTGATAATGGCGTCCTGCACTTACACCCTTTGTCTGGGAATCTTGAAGTTATTTCTACACAAATAGATAATGATGTTCATTTTGTAAGGGGTGAGAGGTAACGTGATGAAGAAAAATCCAGGACCCAGGTGTCTCCTTTGTTGTTCCCCCTTCTGCTCCCTTTTCAGCTTTTTTTTTTTTTTTTTTAAGATGGAGTCTTGCTCTTGTTGCCCAGGCTGGAGTGCAGTGCCGCGATCTCAGCTCACTGCAACCTCCACCTCCACCTCCCAGGTTCAAGCAGTTCTGCCTCAGCCTCCCGAGTAGCTGGGATTACAGGCGCGTGCCACCATGCCCAGCTAATTTTTGTATTTTTAGTAGACGCGGGGTTTCACCATATTGACCAGGCTGGTCTCAAACTCCTGACCTCGTGATCTGCCCGCCTCGGCCTCCCAAAGTGCTGGGACTGCAGGTGTGAGCCACTGTGCCTAGGCCCTTTTCAGCTTTTTAAGAGGCATGCCCAATCTTCTGTCGGTTTAAATACTTTCCTCCCAGGTACTGCTTTCTACTTTTTTAAGAGCATGAATGAAAACAAATGTTTCCATATCACATTTCGTGGGGGAAGAGTTAAGATTCAGCGAGAGGGAATGGTTTGCAGATATGTGTGCACTTGTCAGAGAACATACCTGTCTCTCCTGGTAAATCTGCCTCATCACTATTACATCATGGAGCTTAGATGGGGTTCTCTGGGTTCATGGATGAAAAGCAGTTGGAACAGTGCCTGGCACATGGCAAGCCCTGTATAACTGATGGATTCTAGGATTATCTTATTGATGTCTGTGGGCAGGCACCTCTGTCCCTGGAGAAGCCGCATTTAGAGTGAGCCCTTGCTCGTTCTCTCTGACGGTTGGGATACACTTCCCTTCTCCTACCCAGCCAAGCCTCTCCAAATCCTTGGGAGCCAGTGTAAGTCCAGTTTCCCTGCTCCAGGAAGCCTTCCCCGGTCCAGCCGTCAGTCACCTCTTTGTCTTCACAATACTTGTATCATTTTCTCAGTTCAGTTCAACAAACTTGAGCATCTAGTGTACATTAAGTTATGCCTTGCTTGGGCACTGACTCATGCTCCATCATGTAACCTTGTTTTAACTCCTGCAGGAATGTGTGTCTTGTGTCTAATGGGATGATTCAGCCTTAAGGAAAAAACTTCTTTTTTTGAGACAGGGTCTCACTCTGTCACCCAGGGTGGAGTGCAGTGGTGTGAAACTGCAGCCTCAGCCTCCTGGGCTCGAGTGATCCTCCCACCTCAGCGTCCTAGGTAGCTGGGACTACAGGCTTGCTCCACTACACCTGGCTCATTTTTGTATTTTTTATAGAGACAGGGTTTTGCCATGTTACCCAGGCTAGTCTCAAACTCCTAAGCTCAAGCAATCCTCCTGCCTCAGCCTCCAAAGTGCTGGGATTACAGGTGGGAGCCATCACACCTGGCCTGAAAAGCTCATTTAAACTGTGGTTGTGTGTGTGTGTGTGTGTGTGTGTGTGTGTGTGTGTGTGTGTGTGTGTGTGTAGGCATTTCCCCCAGAGACAATTGTGCGTATACAGCAGGGGCTCAGTATTCTCTAAGAGTAGGGGTAGGGAGTATTGGTGCCAGAACAGGCCAAACTGCTCATATTTGGTTAAATTCAAGGTGGTAAATTCTTGTTGAATTGAAGTAATACAGCTCATCACAGGGTCTGAAACACCCGGTAGCTGGAGGTGTGTGCAGTCCTTTCTTTGGTCCACGACAACACCGTATTCTATTCTGTTCTATGTGAAAGGGGTCCAGCATGGATGGAGTTCCTCCTGCATGTCAGACGTCATGGAGAACGCAGATGGGGTGCCTGGATAAAAAGCATTATAATCCAGTGAGATGATAAATAAATACAAACGTGCTTATAAGAAAGGTGTTCCATGATGGACTCCACAGCTGAGATTCAATCAAAGGGCTTTGCGGTTAAAAGGGGGATGTGGTAGTATCTAGTTGGGGGATCATGAAAACTTTATTTATTCAACAAATATGTATTGAGAGGCAATCTTCTGTTCCAGGGCTCTGCTAGTGCTAGCGCTTCATGGAGGAGCCTGGAGGAGAAGATTAGCACCTGTACTCCCCGGCGCATCCCTCCCAAACATCAACGCAGAGCTCCAAACTTTTGTTTCTCTTCTCTAGTGTTTATAAGGGGGACCTTCTAGTCCTATCATTTTTTTTCCCTAACACAAAACGTGGAGGAGCTGGAGACCGATTGTGGATTGTGTGTTAATTCCCCTCAGTACTGCATTCTCCTGGATTGCAAAACTAATTTCCTCATTGACATTCACAGCTGGTGTTTGCTCCTACTTTCTCCTGATGAAATGCTGACTGCAAAGGTGAGAGCTGCTGACACTGTTTGCTGTGTGGTTTCTTCCAGGATTTTTTTCCCAGGAAGCCATCCCGTCAGAGGGGTTCAAGTGATGAAAGTTGGCAAACTGCAGCTACATCAAGGCATGTTTCCCCAAGCAATGAAGAATCTCAGACTGGTGAGTGTGCCAAGATCTCACGTAGTTCTGCCTGGCATCCTTTTTTTCTGCTGTTGCTGAACCCTTTTGTTATTGGTTAGCAGCTCTACATATGTGGGCATGCATACACACGCATGCCCAATGTGTGCTGGTAAATGTTTAACAACCACTCTGGAAAAAAACCTGCTTTGTGACATTTGCCTATTTCTGTGATGCAGGCATGCCAACCATGGCTGATTTTAAATGTGAAATCAACCTTCTTGTAAAAATAATCTTAACAATTACTCTTGCACCCTGGTGCAAACCAGCCTCAGAACACCACTGCTCCTGTGCCCTCTCCACAAGGTCAACTCGTTTGTGCCTCCTCCCCATTGCCCACAGAACAGTCTATATCCCTTGCACGGCAAGCCCTTGACCATCTTTGTGGCAGTTCAGCTTTGCAGCCTCTTCTCCCCGCCCTTCCTGTCTCCCTTTCCACCCACCCAGTGCTCACTGCTGCTCACCAGGACCCAGCGTGACCCTGAACTTCTCACTCCTCCATCTTCACACAGCTATTTCCTCTGCCTTAAACGCCCTCCCCATCACAACCCCCTGGGCTTGACAGAACTCTGTAATCCTTTAAGGCCTAACTCCAGTGTTACTTTGCCGTCCTACCCCTGCAGCTCTCTGCCCACCTTGCCAGGAGAGCCCTTTTCACATCGCAGTAGGCATACCTGATGGCCACCCCTACCCCTGCCCCCAGGAGAGCGTGAGGGCTTCGTGGTTGTCTTGGTAACCAGCTCAGTGCCATGCAAGGGATCTGGAACTTAGGAAGTATTCATTATTGGGGGAAGGAGGAAGGAGGAAGGGAAGGAGGTCAGTGAATATGGTTCTAGTAGTAAGTGTCAAGAAACTAAACGGGAGAACTGGTTTAGGGTTGGAATACCTTGTTAAAACACAATGGTTAGTTTCACCTGCTTAGGGAGTCTCCTCTGCCCAGAGGAGCCCAGGGCTCTCTGCTGTCTGGCTTTCCCACCTCAGCAGAACTTCCTCTCCTCCAGTCCGTGACCCTTCCAAAGGAGAGCTCACATGCCCACCTAGCCAGGCACCGGTGGGTCATATGGAGACCTGGCGTGTGGGTATCATAGGAAGCACTTGACACTTTAACAGGACCCTCTGGGCCGCCATGCCCTTGTGTGCGGAAGAGTGGCGGTGCAAGGATTGGGCATCAGGGTTGCTCAGGGCATGTCCAGGGGCCGGCTGATCCCATAACATTGGCAGCTGCCCACATGGACCTGAGAGAAATGACAAATGCCTGAGGGATTCTTAAAAATAAGATTCCCCCGTGCTCATTTTTGCTGAATGCTAACCAGAGTGCCTTTATTTGATCTTTAAATAAAGTCAGCATGTGGCCAACAGGAGTAACACTCGGATTTCCTGAAGGCACTCAGCTCTTCCTGTTCTTTTTATCATGTCTGGCATGTTTGCCCAGGCGGGGGGAAGAACAGCACACTGTCTGTTGCAGCCTCAGGAAGAACTTTCCTTTTCTGGTCTTGGGGGTACTTAGCCAGTCGAATCAGCGAGGTACAGAAGATCCTTATTAAGGGCTTACTGTGTGAAAGTCTTGACAGAAAAATGATGTACAGGAAATTTCCTAATGTATGATATACTCAACACAGGGCCACCTGCAAGCAAATGTTTGTAAGTGATCAAACTAGACCTTTGTGTTTTTATGGGACTAGAAACTATGAATACTGCTCGTACATACATGATACGTGATCATACTTAGTCCTCATGACAGGTGACAGCTGTATGAGGTCAGCGGGACAAACAGGAATTCCTTCCTATTTGAAAATGAAGGCGCTCAGGTTGGGAGACATGCAAGAGCTCCCCGAAAGTCACACGAGGCAAAGCCAGGTGCATTTGTTCAATTTAATTCAACACGGTGATCAAATACTTCCGCTACTTTGGATAAGACCCAGGCTGGGTGCAGTGGCTCACATCTATAATCCCAGCACTTTGGGAGGCCGAGGCAGGCAGATCACCTGAGGTCAGGAGTTCAAGACCAGTCTGGCCAACATGATGAAACCCCATCTCTACAAAAATACAAAAACTAGCCAAGCATGATAACGGGTGCCTGAAATCCCAGCTGCTCCGGAGGCTGAGGTGGGAGAATCACTTGAACCCAGGAGGCAGAGGTTACAGTGAGCCGAGATTGCACCATTGCACTCCAGCCTGGGCGACAGTGTGAGACTCCGTCTCAAAAAAAAAAAAACAAAAAAAAACAAAAAAAAATCAGTATGGAGTGTACAATTTAATGGAGGAAATAAACATGTACAAGTCATTAAATCCAGGCCAGAAACCAAGGCTCTGTTCTTTCCCTCTAGACTGGTCCAGTTAAATAGATGAGGCTGTCTAGTAAGATCAGTGTGTAGAAATCCCTTAAGCTCTAGCCGAACTCCTGTTGCCAACTTGGGGAAAATAAGGGAGAGAAATCAGAGAAGATTTAGATTGCTGCTTTTCTTTCCGTGAAGCTTTGTTCATTGCCATTGCGTACAGAACTCTTGAAGGAGACATCGAAAACCCCCAGCTATGAGGACAAGCCTGAACCAACCCAGACAGACATCTCGCTGTGGGTTTTCAGGATAATGTGGCCTGGGCTGATGGTACTGACCATCACCAGCCCTTCTGATGACCCTCTTACTGCCCTTTCCATCCCTCATGCCCAGGTCTGTTCTGCTGCCCTCGTACTCTTCTGATGAGGTTGCATCGCCTCTTTCAGAAGCTTCTCTTGGTAATCATGTTAGCTTTTCCTGCTCTTGGTACCAAGGTAAAGCTCAGGCATGCACCCCGATAGATGCCAGTTGAAAGGTATTCTGGGAGCAGCGTCAGATTATCTGTCATGAGGCCTGGGGTTAAATGGTGGCCTTACCCAAACTTGCTATGTGTCTCTACAAAAGTCATTGGGTCTCTTGCCGAGGTCTGATGATCAACCAAGGAGCAAACATGCACTCCTGGCAGAGTCGTAGAAAGAGTGCAAGGATTTAGAGTCAGTACGTCCAGGTTCCAGTCCTACCATTTGCATTAATCTCTGAATATAATTTCATTTGTAAAAGGAGGCTGATAGCTATCCCACAGAGTTGTTTTGAGGAGTAAACGAGGCAATGCGCAAGAGTGTGCTGGCCAATCTCTAGCATTTTGAAACGATTAAAGATGGGTATTGTTACAGGAACGCTTGTTCTGATCACTCTCCCACTAGCGGGTCTGTTCAGTACTTGTGTTTGTAGTTTGGGGTACACGGTGGTTCCTCTGGTGAACAGTTATGTTCTATGCCTGCTCCCCAAGGTGAGTGGGAATTCCTCAAGGGACCTTACATTCCTTTTGTGTCTTCTGGTGCCACCTAACGTAGACACACAAGCCCCCAATACAGCGAGCTCTGTTAAAGACATGCTTGAATGAATGGATTTTGGTAATGGATGGAAGACTTTAAAAGCCTCCCCCAACCCTGCTGTTTAGCTGTTTATGGTTAATGGACCAGATCTTCTCATGACCTTTGCTGAGCATTTGCTAGCGGAGGGATGGCCTGAATGTATCCATCCCTAGGAAAACTCACATGACCTGGGAGTCTAGAAGCAGGTCAGTGTCTTCCTGCAGAAAGTCTTTCTTTCCTGAGCTTTCTCAGGACTCGGGTAACCTGGAGAGGGAAAAGGGAGGCTATACTCTTTGCCTTTTGAAACTGATGTCATCTTCAGACAGGCACCCCTGGGATGCTCTTTCTTGTCTTAGAAACCCTGGAAATAATGGAATGAAATCACTTGAATAAGGTTTTTGAAGACTGAGTTTGAACAGAAATCAGAGGAGCTTCAGACACAGAGATTTATTACAGATTCAGTTAGGCTCCAGCCTCCTCCAGGAAAGGAATCCACTTAGCCCAGCTCTGATTTGGTTTCATCTTCCGTTTCCACTGGGCTCAGCTGAAATTCTTCTGATTGCTGCCACGGGACAGTCCCGGGGTCCCTTCCCAGTGCTTCCCTCCTGCCCTCTCCTGTCTCTAATCTACTTTTATTTCTTTCCATTTATTTCTTAGAAGGCTTTTGTTTACTACTAATTTGACTTCTTGGACCTCAAGGACAGCCCATGTGGGCTGTCTTGTTAATCAGAGCTGGTTTTTTCCTGTGAACGCTGCATGCTGCAGGCTCCCGCACCCCGGCCCTAGTGGAGTTGCTTTGTAGCAAGTCTGGCTCCAAAACTTAGACTTCTTTCCCCTCAGTATCCATTTTTTTTAAATCTGTATTTAAACTTTTTGTATCATAATTTTTCCCTTCTCTTTTAATTTTATTGAAGTATTTTATATCTTGAGCATTTTTTTAGCTTTTTTTGCATCTAAATAGAGAGCACAAGGCCGCAAGTCCTAGAGATTGCTTCTTTTATTCTTGCATCAGCCACCCTGATTTCCAGCCCCAGCAATGGCTGATTTAGAGCATGCACTTCTGTTGGTCCCATGCCTTAATCTGCTACAGTGATTCTTAACCTCTTTGGTCGTATCCCTATTTAGGAATCTGATGAGGGCCACTGACTAACCAGAGAAAGGTTAAATATACACAACCTTTTGTATATTTGGTGTGGATGGCGGCTTCAGAGGCTCCCTGAAGCCCTTCCATGGACTAAGTGTCCGTGGTGTCTAGGTTAAAAAGCCCTCCTCTAAATACTTAACATCATACTTTACCGTGTGGGGAGGTGGGAGGGAAAGAGGTAGAATAAGAAGGCACACAGAGACGATGTTCCATAGTTGTCACTAACACCTTCAAAGAGTTGTTTGGAAGCCCCTAGCTCTGATATTTATGAATGGTTCCTACTGACCTCCAAATGGAGAATAATAGTTCCAAGAGTGTGTTTTTGAACCAAAAAAGAGAAAAGAAAATAACGGCTAAAATGCAAACACAGTGATTAAGCCGTATTATGGGCAATAAGCAGAAATTTACCTACCAGGAAGTATAAGTTCAGTAGCAACAAGGAGTCAGATGGGGAACATGAACTTGTAC